TAAATGAATATTTGATGGCCGATCCTACATATCTACCAGGCAATCTGAAAGTGGATCTCCCACAAAAGTGGATCCTCTCACAAAGGCCACCTAGAGCAGTCCCTCGGCAAGGTAGGTGGCAAAAAAGTTGAACAATAAATAAACAATAAATTGAACAATAAATTAAAATAAAAATATATCCAATCCTAAATGCTTGCTGTCTCGTTTTAAGGAATGAAGAGTGGGAATTATCAGGTTGCAGCACAGTCTTGTCAATTTTCAACTTTAATAAATGCAAGGAAAGTATTATTTGTTCCTAAAGCCTCTGAAGGCAGGGCAAGAAGCAACGGATGGAAGCTAACCAAGGAGAGAACCAATCCAGAACTAAGGAGAAATTGACAGTGAGGACAATTAATCAGTGGAACAACATGCCTCCAGAAGCTGTGGGTGCTCCATCACTGGAGATTTTTAAGAAGAGACTGGACAATCACTTGTCCAGAATAAGGAAGCAGTGAGAACAACAAAGTCCCTCTCAAGTTTGTTATTTTGTTATTTCTTTAACAACCAGCAAAGAACTAAGCATCATCTTGTCCGAAGTTTTGCCCTACATGGGCTAAATTTATATTTGTGATGCGTCAAATTATTATTCCTTAATTGTAATTTCCAAACTTCCATCCTGTGAACCTCCAATTAAAAGATGCCCATCCTTTCAATTAAAACCAGGGTGTAGTTGAATTCAGTACAATCTGATGTGTCAGTTGCATTTGTATTGTTGAGTCAGTTCAATTTTTTTTCTTTTTCCAAGAAGTGAAAATTCCAGCCGGGGCATCTGGAGATTCAGCCCAATCAGCTTCCAACTGAAGCTTTGTAAAGCCCTAAAAACCAATCCTTTGCATTTTTATCTGCAAAGAATGTGGATTACAGTATTTCTTTAAGAAAACATTCCCTAGTTGTGACCTTGACTCGGGAAGAATCCTTCAAGTCAACTGTGTCAAAGTTCCACCACACAGCTGTATAAATTATCTTCCATTCAGGGGGAAAAAGGGGGGAAACAATCCTTTCCCCCCCTCCGATGGAAGAGAATTTATTCAATAGTGTGGTGTGCAAAATGATCATATGTGCACAATATTTATTAAAATATATCTTGCTTTGCAAAAAAATATATATTCAATGTACAAAACTCAATGTATGAAATGCAAATTCATACCACTCGCCATAACACTAATAAACAGTTTCTCCTCCTATCGAGATGGTGAGGTTTTGAATTTTAAATATTTTTTAAAGTCACAGATATCAAAGAAGGAAACACCAGGCATGCGGGCCCCTTGCATAAATTGAGATACGAGGGAAACCTTAAATATTAGACGGGATTAATGGTTTTAAGAAAGAGTCTTAGTTATCAAGAGTAAGAAGATAAAATGAATCCCATAAATATGGAAGCTATCTAAATTATACTTTCTAACAGAGATGTATTCTTTTTTTTTTCAGGCTCCAAAATAGACTGCTTCCTTAGCCATCACTCCAATTTAACTGGAGGTACACTTTGTATAATAAATGATATGCTCAATTTGGAGACATGGAAACCTTAATGTGCAATTTCAGCATTGTTTCCATGGTGTCAAAATGAGTTTTTGCATACTCTGCCAGCATTTATTCTTTACTTTTTCAAAATGTGATTTAGAATAATTGAACGCCCAGAGCAGGGAACCTGGAGTAAAATTACATAGCCAAATAAACCCAAAACAAAACACTATTGCATTTAATAAATTGAACAATTGGATCCTACCCCCCCCCCCCATGAATCTTCTAAAAATGCTGGTCTGGGAACCTCCTCTTGCAAATGTTCTCCCCCGGGGAGAGAAAGCTGAACTTTTCACATATATACAGCTAGTCCTCGACTTAAAACAACAACTGAACCCCAAATTTTTATTGCTAAGTGAATTTTGCCCCATTTTATAATCTTTCTTGTCACAGTTGTTAAGTGAATCCTTGCAGTTGTTAAAGTTAGTAACACGGTTGTGAAGTAAATCTGGCTTCCCAACCGACGTTGCTTGTCAGAAGGTCGCAAAAGGGGATCACACTGCGACTGTCATAAATATGAAACAGTTGCCAAACTTCCAAATTTTGATCATATGACCACAGGGATGATGCAAGGCTCATATATGTGAAAGATGATCATAAGTCACTTTCAGTGCTGTTGTAACTTCGAATGGTCACTAAACGAAATGTTGTAAGTCGAGGACTACTTAGTGCAGCATTTTATGTTCATGTTTGCTCTTAGACGTGACAGCATGGAAAGCAATCTTTGGAAGCACATTAAAAATGCAGATAAAGGTTGTCCTTGACTTACAACCATTTTTTAATGACCGTTTAAAGTCACAACAGCACTGAAAAAAGGGACTTATGATCATTTTTCAGTTATGACCATTGCAACATTCCCCCATGGTCACGTGACCAAAATTCAGACGCTTGGCAACTGACTCGTATTTATGACGGTCGCAGTGTCCCGGGCTCCTGTGATCTCCTTTTGCGACCTTCTGACAAGCAAAGTCAATGGGGAAGCCAGATTCGCTTCACAACCGTGTTAACTAACTTTAGTAACTAACTGCAATGGTTCACTTAACCACAGGGGCAGAGAAGGTCATTAAATGGGGCAAAATTGACTTTACCACCGTCTTGCTTAGCCAGAGAAATTTTGGACTCAACTGTAGTCATAAGTCGACGACTACGGGTATTAGAAAACAAACAACAAAACAATGAAGCATTGGGAACAAATAAATGAGAAAATAGGAAAAGGAAAGGGGGGAAAAAGATTATAAGGAAGAAAAGATTAAAAAGATTTTTTGTTTCCAAAGACTTTGTTCTGGCCTTGTTCCTTGATTTTCCTGGCATACTTCTGCTTTTAAAATTATGTTTATCTTCTTCTTTTTGAAAAGGCTACATACCTCTTTAATTTTTTTTCTTCTGTTCAGTCACAGCCAATTCTCGGGAGACTGCCTGGAGAAGCAGTTTTCTTGGCAAGGTTTTTCAGAAGTGGTTTGCCATTGCCTCCTCCTAGGGGCTGAGAGAAAGTGGCTGGCCTAAAATCACCCAGGTGATGCCTAAACTACAGATTCTCCTCAACTTACAACAGTTCATTTAGTGACCATTAAGTTACAATGGCACCGAAAAAACTGATGACTATATTTCACACTTATGACCATTGCGACATCCCCATTGGTCACATGATCAAAATTCAGATACTTGGCAACTGACTCATATTTATGACGCTTTCACTGTCCTTGAATATGTGTTTCCCTTTTGTGACCTTCTGACAAGCAAAGTCAATGGGAAAGCCAGATTCACTTAACAACCGTTACTAACTTAACAACTGCAGTGATTCACTTAACAAATGTGGCAAGGAAGGTCATAAAATGGGGCAAAGCTCACTAAAATGTCTCGCTTAGCAATGGAAACATTGGGCTCCATTGTGGTCATAAGACGAGGACTGTGTTTAAATAGGATGGGGCTTCAGTTGTAAGGTTGAGGCCACCATCTTGATGTTTTTGGCCTCTTGACCCATCAGGATCCAATGTAAATCATGAATTTCCCTTTGGTTGCAGTCCGTCCTCTCCTTAGATTGCGGACATCAAATACCATAATCTTCAGTCTATCCGCAAAGGGGAATTGTGGGAAATGAGACTAAATACATCTACTGGATATTAAGATCTGGAGCCCTGCATGCAAGGAAACACAAGGCAGTCCTGGGGACTCAGAGGGAGGTTTTACTCTAACTTATTCTAATCTGTAATATGTCTACACAGTCAGTCCTCCAGTTACAACTATTCATTTAGTGCAGGGGTCTTCAAACTTGGCAACTTTAAGACTTGTGGACTTCAACTCCCAGAATTCCTCAGCCAGCCCTGGCTGGCTGAGGAATTCTGGGAGTTAAAGTCCACAAGTCTTAAAGTTGCCAAGTTTGAAGACCATTCATTTAGTGTCTGGAAATTTGGGGCTCAATTGTATTCGTAAGTCGAGGACTACCTCTGGCATGCTAAATTGGCTCTCTATATATTTCTCATAGCCATATAATAAGCAGATCATAAACAGTACTGGTTGAACTGCTCCCTGCATCTTATAAAGTCCTAGGAAAGGAGGAGATGGTCCCAAACACAGAGCCTCCTAATCCCGGGGCAGCTTTCCCACTTCCCTTCTCTACCTCAAGCATGCTCCACTTTATGACCATTTGTTTAAGGAAGTTACGGCAGCGCTGAAAAAGTCATTTACAACTGGTCCTCACACTTACGACCATCCGTCGCACAGCCAACGAGGGGAGCCAGATTTGCTTCCCCTGCTGTGCGATTCGCCTAGGCGGCCATGGTGATTTCCTGAACTCGCTGCAACTCGTTTAACAACTGCCTCATTTAGCAACAGAAGTTCCAGGATTCCCTAAAAAAAACCACCAACAACCCTAACCACAAAACTATAAGCCCTTGTCTGCTCACAGAATCTCAATTCTCATCCCAAATTAGGGGGGGGGGAGGGAAGAGGACACTCGGAGTGGGGATGATGGGCTTTGTCGTCCCCAAAGGCGCCGCCCCCCCCGCTGCTGAGGTAGAACGAAGCGCTCCCCTCCTGCCCCTCCCCCCCTCCGCGGAAACCGAAACGCCGGCGCAACGGGCCCCGCCCCTTTTTCCAAGGCGCGCGCTCCCCCTTTCCCCCCCTCCCCTTTTGAAAAAGGGCACGCGGCTTCTCCCCCTGCCGCTTTCTAACGGTCGGCAAGGCGCGCGCGAGACGAGGAAGGGGAGCGCGCATGCTCCTCGCCCTCCGCAAGACTTGGCCACGCCTCCCCGTCCCTGGTCTGCCTCCCCCTTTCAGAGAGAGAGAGAGAGAGAGAGAGAGAGCAGGAGGGGCGGGGAAAGGAGGGATATTAAAAAAAAAAAAAAAAAAAGACACCCAACCCAGCCCGCGTTTCCCGTCGTGCTTTGCGGGGCCCTTGGCACTGACGTGGCCGCCGGGAGCCGCCATCTTGTGCGCAGTAAGGGAGGCTGTGAGGGAGGCGGAAGGCGAAGGCCAGAAGCAGACGAGGCACCCGGCGGGCCCGGAGAGGACGACGACGGAGACCCCGCAGCCAGACACCCCGCAACGTCGCCCGGTAAGCAGCCGAGCCCTCACGAAGTCTCAGCGGCGGCCCGACCTGGTCCGAACCGACCCTTCCTTCGCCAACGGTCCGCGCCGAGGCGGCCGGGCCTAGCTCGCGGCCGGGCGGGGCAGCCTCCCCCCGACGCCCGCTGATCTCCCGGCCGAGCTGTGGGGCTCTTTTCCTCCTCCCGCCTTCCTTTAACCTTCCCCGATGCCGCCCTCATAAGCGGGGGTGCAGCGGGGCACCCCCATTCCCCTCATCCCCAGCCCCTCCCCCACGAAAAGGAGACTGTAGTCAGAGGGCGAGAAGGCGGCCCTTGCGCGGGACCGGTTCCTCGTAGTCCTCGGGCCTGGGACGGTTGGGCAGGCCGGGGAGGAGGGGAGTCACCCCCCGGTCCTGGCGCTTTGGCCTCTCTGAGTAACATCCATAAAACGGGGGAGGATGCAGGGTGGCCCCCGAGGGTGGAGGATGGGGTTTGGGGAGGAGGATGAAAGAATTTTTTGGGGGGGGATATGGTGGGGTTTGGGGAGGATGGTAGAATTTGGGGGAGGATAATGGGGTTGTTCGGGGTGGATGATCGGGTTTGGGGGAGGGCGATGGGGTGGTTTGGGAGTGGTCTTTTTTCTTTCCTCATCTGGAATTTGGCCCCAAAGACGAGGGATGGGTGGGGATTTGGGATCCCTTAGTCACTTGCTGGTGACTTCATCGGCAGGACAAACAGTTGCGCAAGGGCAGGGAGTCTCAAGTACATTCTGGTGGTGGTGAAGACTCTCTTCCTCTTTATTAGTTGAGGAAATCGGACTCAAAAGGTCTGGGTTGACAGGCCAGGACAAGAGTCTTAATCCATTTGGACAGGGTGGTGTAAGGATGCCAGGCCTTGGGCGGGCTAGATGATCTCCCAAGGTCCCTCCCAGCCATGACAGAAATACTAATCACAACTAGCCACATTTAGTTTATCGTACAGGGTCTTAGCTGGGTCTTTCTATGTTTAACGAAGAGAAGGACGAGGGGGGACATGATAGCAGTCTTCCAATATCTCAGGGGCTGCCCCAAAGAAGAGGGAGTCAAGCTATTCTCCAAGGTGCCTGAAGGCAGGACAAGAAGCAACGGGTGGAAACTGATCAAGGAGAGAAGCAACCTGGAACTAAGGAGAAACTTCCTGACAGTGAGGACAATTAACCAGTGGAACAACCTGCCTCCAGAAGCGGTGAATGCTCCAACACTGGAAGTTTTTAAGAAGAGACTGGACAGCCGTTTGTCTGAAATGGTGTAGGGTTCCTGCCTGGGCAGGGGGTTGGACTCGATGACCTCCAAGGTCCCTTCCAACTTTATTATTATTATTAAACTGAGCCATGAAATGGGGAGGGAGGGAGGAAGGAAAAAGAGGTGAGAGAAGGAAAGAAAGAAAGAAGTAGGAAGTTAGGAGAAAGGGAAGGATGGAACTAAGAAAGAAGGGAAGAGAAAAGGAGAGAGAAAGAGGGGCAAGGGAAAGAAAGGCAGGAGAAAGAAAGGAGTGGAAGCTGGTCAGAGGGAGATACAACCTAGAAATAAGGAATTCCCTGACAGTGAGGACTATGAAGCAGTGGAACAGCTTCCCTCCCAGAGTTGTGGGTGTTCCGTCTCTGGAGATTTTCAAGAAAAGATTGGACAACCATTTGACCACAATGGCATAAGTTCTTCTGCCTTGAGCAAAGGGTTGAACTGGATGACCTCCAAGATCCCTTCCAGGTTTATGATGCTTCTCAAAGCTGCTTTCCTGGCCATTCCCATTTCCAGGGTTGTGAATTGGATCTCTATCTTTGCCACACAGGCAATTACCGTACAGTATAAATCTGGGCATCAAAGCCATCTCAGCACGACATAATTTGTTGCATAAGTTTCTTTTTCCTGAAATACTATGAAATGTCAGACTGGATTGATGTTGCTAATTTTCTGCCAGATGCACTCCACTGGAGAAAGTCCTCTTTAGTTAATTTGGTTTTTCTTTTCTTTTTTTTTTTAGGAAATATGTTAAATAGCCTTTCATGTTGCCAATACCTGGTAATGACATGTCCCTCGTAAATACTTGGGATAATGAGAGGGCAATTGTTTTTAAACATTAATTTTTGTATTTTAGAATCAGGTCTTGAAATAAAAACAATGTCAAGGGGATAGCATTGCTATTTTTTTTAGTGAATTCTAGTATTTTCTGATTATTAGCTTATTTGTATTTCCACGACTACCTTAAATTTTTGGCTAGCTTAAAAAGTTTTCATCTTTATCTCTGTGACATGGGAGAGCTGTAAACAAGAGGCAGCAACTATTGTAGATCCAAGGACAAACATCTCAGTTGCTCAGCTTAACTTTTCCCCCTCCTTTTTTTCCAGCATAGACTTTTCCTGGTTTGTTCATTCATCAGAACTTTGGGGAAGTTACTGTCCTCCACAAAGTTCTTGCTACTCTATATGGTCTTTGTCATCATCTACACTTTTGAAACATTTGGGGATTTCTTTTACAAAGCTGGCAATCTGATTTGTGCAGCTGTCCTTAAAGAAGTTGTGTAGGGCAAGCACACTTCAATATAATTTACTGCCAATCATGTGAGAAATACCTGATCACAATTGAAACCAAGGTTTCCATCGCTAAACAAGGTAATGGAACTGAGTTGTGCCTTATTTTATGATCTCTTTTGCTATGATTGTTAAGTCACACGGTTGTTAAGCAAATCTGCCAATTCCCCATTGACTTTGCTTGTGAGAGGCCAGTTGGGAAGGCCACATGATGCAACTGTTGTGAATAAATGCTGGTTGCCAATCATCCAAATCTTGATCACATGTCCATGGGGATGCTGCAACAGTCATATGTGCGAGGACCAATCATGAGTGACTTTTCAGTGCCATAACTTAGAACGGTTGCTAAACAAATATTTGTCAGTCAGTGAGTACCTGCATTATACTACCACTATACCGGTGGTCCTTGACTTAATAACAGTTCATTTAGTGACCAAAGTTACAAGGGCACTGGAAAAAGTAACTTGTGATTGTTTTTCACACTTAACGACCACTGCAGCATCTCCATGGTCACATGATCAAAATTGGGACGCTTGGCAACTGGCCTTTATGACAATTGCAGTGTCCCTGGGTGTCATGATCCCCATTTGTGATCTTCTGACAAACAAAGTCAATGGGGGAAGCCAGATTCACTTAACTGTGTTATAGCGTAACAACTGTGTTAAGAAAGATAACACAGGGCAAAGCTCACTTAACAACTATCATGCTTAGCAACAGAAAATTTGGGCTCAATTGTGGTCGTAAGTTGAAGACTACCTGTAATAAATTCGGGGTATGCCTTTTGGCACCTTGCAGGTAATTTGGATTGCATCTCCTACAACTTTCAGCTACGGTGAAAATCAGAAGATTTGAGGAGCATTTCTTTTTTGCATTTCCTTTTCTTAATTGCTTCCGAACCAGATGCCTCGTACAGGCATCTTGTGAAATGTTCCCATGATAACGGATAACGTACAGTCTGGGTTGAAGTGCTTGGTCTGATATGTTCGAGGATTTAGTGTGTAATTGTCTGGAACAGACTTGGGGAAATAATTATGTTAATGCAGCTACGGCTGACATTTTTTCGCAATCTCCATATGCATACGGCATTTATATCTTCCTTTGAAATTAAATTAGCAAACCATGAACCGTCCTATTATCCTGGCTGGGATCACTTCACAGTTGCCGTAATGCATTAGCTGCAATGGGCCGACTTCATCAGAGAGGAAGAGGTTCCTCAGCCCTGCAATACAAAGGAGTTATTACTATTATCTTTAAATCAGGAGGATAGCTCCAGGTTATAAAAGCAAGCTCTTGCACAGATAGTCAGCCATGTATGATTACAGTTGAGCCCAAAATTTCCATTGCTAATTGAGACAGTTAAAGAGTTTTGCCCCATTTTACGACCTTTCGTGTCACAGTTGTTAAGTGAATCATTGCTGTTAAAGTGTTAAATGAATCTGGCTTCCCCGTTGCCAGAAAGTCGCTAAAGGGAACACTTGACCCAGGGACTCTGCAACTGTCATAAATACGAGACAGTTGCCAAGCATCCGAATTTTGATGGGGACCCTGGGGATGCTGCAACAGTCGTAAATGTGAAAAACGGTCATAAGTCACTTTTTTCAGTGTCGTCACTTTGAAAAGTCACTCAGTGAATTGTTGTAAGTCAAGGACTACTTGTATCTCCTTTTCATGCTGCTAGCTTCAAGCAGGTTGCAAAATTTTGGGTGCTTTGAATCTGGACAGCCTATTACACCTAAGTTGGATCTGTTATCTACACCTACTCCTTTCAACTCTGAACTGTCTGAGCAGTGTTTAGTTTTCATCCATCCCCAGAGTGGATATTAATAGATTTTTTTAATGGATTTTTTAAAATTTAAATTGGATTTTTTTTTATTTTTATCAAATTTATCTTAATAAAATGCTTTTGGAGTAAAAAAACTATCTAAATATAGTTTTCTGTTTAAGATACATTAATAATTTAGTTTATTCAGCATGAAATGGAGCTTAGTTATGTCGCATGAGGCTTTATAATCTGAAATATTTACATTTTTGGTAAACTCATTCAGTGAATCCAAGGTCTGCAAGCCGAGATAACATGCACTGCCTTGATGCATTCGCACAGTTTCACAGTAACCATGAGATAAATCAGAAAATAAAGTTCAGGAATATTTCTTTATCCCATTGTTTTGCAAATCTATGCACACTACAAGCTGTGTGATTGTTTGAAGAGAAATGCCTCTGTAGGAGGCTCTTAAGTGTTTTAGTTAAATAAAAGAATTTGAGTAGTTCTCCAACTATGTGTGATTAACCTGAAATCAGTTCTGTTACCGCTGTTTGACTGACCTGACAGCTTCTGATTCTAAATAGGAAACCTTCATTTTGTTTGCAAATAATAATATTAAAGATTCTAGCTACCAGCAAGAATGAGTCCTTACATTGAAAGAGCACCTGTCATTTCAGATCCATCCTGGCAGCGCCTGTTAG